CAGGAACATATACTTGAGTTTTTCAGCTTTATTGAGAAAACAGCAGAGAGAGAGAGAGAGAGAGAGAGAGCATGATCCGTAGGGCACGTTCTCTCAGAGCACACTGATTCGACAGTCCCATACATTTGCATTTTTCCCTCTTTTTTTTTGTTTTTTTTGGTGAGCTGGGTCGGACCTGATGAGCCGGCAGAGTCCGTCCCGAACAAGCGCAAGAGTCCCTGCACTTTGCCACGGAGACAAGGAATAAATAAATAAATAAGACAGCGGCTGGTGTGCGAATGTTGGACGACAGAGCTCTGTATGAGCTCGACAGAGGCAGTGTGCACACACACACTTACGCACAAGCGCACCTGGCTGTATGAGAACGATGCTGAAGGGCGGACAACAGCACGACAGCATTACATCCACATGATGCGACAGGCACGTACTGGAGGGCCGCAGAGGGCCCTGAGGAAAGAAGAGCAGATGCATTGTATGAGTGTCTAATGCTGTTTTTCCACCAGGCGGTGCGGTAGGGTACTGTACTATTACAGTCATATGCAAAAGCTATAGAAGTTTGGGCACCTTGGCTCAAATTACACATTCTGTTGATTTTCTAAGTTAAATTAAGTTGACCCATCCTCCACAGAGAACACCCTAAAATATGGCATTTTAGACTTTAGCGCACAAAAAATTTGACATATTGGAAAAAATAAAACATAAAGTGTGCCATAACTTTTGCACAGGCCGCATTTTATGTTGTATTTATCTCCTGTATGTTCAGTTCAACAAATAAACAGTAACGGTGCATTTAAATGTGCAGAAGTGTGCTCTCTGTAGAAGATGTGTTAACTTAAACTCGCTCAACAAAGCATGCAATTTGACCGGGACGCTCAAACTTTTGCAAACAACCATACAAATCAGTGATTATGCATTTCATGTTCAGTTCTACCACCAAGAGAGCCGTACCGTACCTGAGTACCCATGCTAAATTGGGTTACCCTTCTCACTGGAGTACCAAGGGTGCCTAATGTCGCTGCTGTTGTTTGTGTTTACTGTTGTGAGCACACAAGCTGAAGAGAACTCCGCCTACTTTCAGTGCTCTGTTATGCAATGGGTATTGGATACACTGTCTGGTGGAAAAACGCCTTAATGTCTTAAATTTAAAGAAATAGCCCCTTTCAACCCATCCCTATCTGCTGCACCTTAAGCTGAAACATGACTACTCTTTCCGAAAAAGGGTTCTTTGTAGTACCAAAAACAGTTCTATGACTTGTAACAAGAGTTGAATACTTTAGATGCTGTATAATACCACTTTTAGGCAGTTCTTTAAAGAACCATATCACTGCTGTCAGAACAAAACCTTGTATCTCCAAAATGGGAACTTAACAGGAACAGGAAAAAACATGCCTTACTTTTAATGTAAGACTTTTTTCCAAGTCATTTTGGGTCATTTCTGTTGATCCATTCATCATGAAATTTACACACAATGTAAAGGGCAACAGGTATTTTTTAAATTCTGACAAAAACTGAAAAACATAAAAAATGGAGATATGAGGTTTTGTTCCGACAGCAGCGACATACAACAGGTTCATACAGTACTGTGCAAAAGTCAGAGGGCACCTTTCATTTATTTCATTTGTAGTCAAAACGGTCATTAAGTACAAGTTATTCTTTTTCAGTGTCAGGAAAAAAGTGGAAAATCCCTTTAGAGGAATTTTAAATGGAAGCCTCAATAACTATAATACATGTTTAGGATTTAATGTTTCCACTCCTCACCTTTACTAAAGCTGCCATTCTTTTCAGGAGACTTGCTGTGAGTTTTTCAGTGAAATTTGCAGGGATATTTTTGAGAATACTGGCAGCTTTTTTTGTCTATTTCATTTCTTGACAGCTACACATCCTTTCAGACCCATTGCACTGAGTTGTCTTCTCACAGTGGAAGGATGGACAGAAACACCTGTGGATGTTTTCAGATCTGAAGCAGCTTGATTTTCTCCTCTCTCTCAAAGATGAAAGCTTTAAGTGCTGTTTATCTGATGGGGACAGTTTTGGTGGTTTACCAGCTCTTGCACAGTTGTCAGGAGTCCCAATTTCTCTTTTTAAATCATGTTTTATTAAAAGTAACGGAAACTCCTGTTTTTCCACTCATCTTCCTTTAACTTAATGGCTCTTTTGACAGAAAATCTAATACATGAAGGGTGGTCTCTGACTTTTGCACAGTACTGTACATCACAGAGAAAAAACATTTAACTATGCAGATTTATGCATTCAAACGACTCTGAGCTGCTATGGTTCTATATATAACCTTAGCCTTTCCTAAGAACCCTTGAAGAAGCCCTTTTTAAGGGTGTGCCATGGACAATAATGTTGACGTGAGCTTAGAAAAGAACAGAAGACTCAGTGATTTGAAATACACTTACAGCAGAAGCCAATAAGCAGGTGCTAAAGCAACTGCCCATTGACTTCTATTATAAGTGTTCTGAGTCAACCAGTTTTCTTTTTTGAGCACAAAAGAAACACATCATAGTTACTGCCTGTGGTCGTGGACTGTAAGCATCAGATGCAGCAGATAGCCATTAGGTTAAAAAATACAAGTTTCTTTAAGAGAGCTGATCTACAATCAGCCCCCCAGTGTCCATATAGTCACAGCCATTATATAAGAACTTCAGATCAGCACTTTTCTTCTGTTAAACTGTGTGTGGGCTTCAAACCCCTAGAAATGTGAGTACATGTTTGCAGTGTATGTTTACATGAAGGCACTCTTGTGTATGAGAGTGAGCTGCCGTGTGTGTGTGAGAGAGAGAGAGATGGTCAGTGCGTTACTGAGAGGCTGAAAGGCACTGAGCCCAATGTGTTGCTTATGTGTCTGATGTGCCTACATGTGGCTGAATAATGCTGGGTGGGTAGGTGTGTGTGCTAGCAAATGTTAAAGGGGAACTCCACTGATTTTTTAAAATTTCTGTATAATTAAATCTTTAAGATGTAAACAAAGTCATTAAGAATGGTTGGTGTGAAATGCTCTGTTCTAGAGAAACTTACAGCGTCAGAATTGTTCACAGTGGTGCTGATAGGAACCAGACATCACAGAAAGTTATTACATGAAACAGTTACAAATGCACTGCTTGATGCCTGAGACATTATTTTATGATCATTTTGAGAATGTTTTGGCCTAAATTATCTTTTAAATCCTTTCAGGGTGGAGGGGTACATGCTGGGCGTTGTAAGGCAAAGTAAAAATAACAAAGAAAGAAAGAACTTTTTGGATTTAAGACAATTTTACCATTGTCTATATTACGTATAAAACTCCAAAGGCATGAGTAGGTTCACTGACAGTAAAAAAAAAAATGGTTGTATTTGTGTTGTAGACATTGGGCCTCATTCACCAATATACTCCCCTCATAAGTTTGGTCTTAAATGTGTTCTTGAGAAAGGTCCTAAAAAGTCTTCGTCAGATTCATGACTGTTCACAGCTTTGTGCTCGAGAGTGTTTGAGATTCTGTTCTTACCTAAGAACAAATCCCAAATATGAAAACACTGGTGAGTGGTCAGTATCTTTGTGAAAACTGCATAAGTGGGTTTTAAGAAGAAGTTTTTTCTTATGAACGGTTGGTGAATGAATCCCATTGTCATATACTACTGACCACACCATTGCAATGCATTTGTAATCCGAAAAAGGACAAAGTCAGCCTTTAAAATGACTTTGACTGCTGTTTCTCGCTATGTGACATACGCATGTCCTTATAGCTAACAGTGTGTTACATAGACTCAGAAAGCACGTAAGGAAGTGTAGTTGAGATTACTTCCAACTCGATATGGCCTAAGGCAAGTGTCTGGTGATTTAGGTCCCGCATTTCAATCTTTGTAAAAACTAAGTGGGTTTTAAGAAGAAGTTTCTTCTTAAGAATGATTGGTGAAGGAGGCCCATTGACCCCTGGTTCCTATCACCACCAGTGTAAAGAAATCTGAGTTGGTTACTTTCTGTACAATGAACCATTTCAAATCAAACCACTCTGAATGACTCTCTTAACATCTCTGAGACAGAATTATACCTAATTAAAAAGCAAGACTGAATTCCCCTTTAACTTAAGTTATCGATGAGAAAATCAAGAAAAAACAAAACAAAACAGCATTTAAACAGAACTGGGCAGACTTTGTTTTCCACACACAGGACGATCACTCACTGCTTATTGTTCCTTTAGTTAGCTGGTTCAAAGCAGGGCAGACTAGATTTATGTTATGTTTTCATTCAGAGATTTGCTGAAAAACCCACACGGCAGGAGCTCCATTCATTTCTTAAATTAAATTTGGAAGAGGCAGAGCGAGAGAGAGAGCGCACGAGAGAGAGAGAGAGGTTGAGAACACGTGGCTTGAATTTCATTGCCACGTTTTGCTCTTCACATCACTAGGGGGGCTACCAGTGGGTTCTACAGCTTGTACGTGTGTCCTGTAAGATCAGGAGCTCTGATGCAGCTAATCAGCAGGCGCACTAATCCGTCCAGCCGTCTAGAGAAGCAGAGAGAGCGCTGTAGAAAGTCAGCGCTAGGCTGAGTCACATTTACCAGCGTAGGATTTTTGTGCAGACAGAGAGACACAGACGCTGGGCACACCCCACCTGTGGCCGTCAGATATATAAATAAGCAATTTCATCATTTTCAGCCTCGTCTAATTCTCAAAGCAAACAAAGAGCACGGAAAAGACAATTCTACAAACGAAAGCACCCAACTCCTTTGAAAGGCTTAAATTGGAAAAAGAGTGTGTACAATACAGCAATCATCTAATGGATGAAACAGATTCTGTCTAGCTCTCTCTCTCTCTCTCGCCTTCCTTTTTATCCCTTTGAGTGAGTGAGAGAAGCTTTCCCGTGAGAACAGCTCGGAAAACCAAAGTCTTGCCCACTTCTGTACGCCCCTCGCCACACAAGAGCCTGGCAACAACGTACCGCATAAGAAGCAGGAAAGCATTAAAAATCATAATAATTCCATTTACAAATCTACCACTAAGCTTCGTTTTGTTTTTTGTTTTTTTTTTCCTGGAAAAAATATTAAATCTTCCTCATTTCTTTTTCACAAAGTAATTATTTAAATAATCTTTTGTTGAGCTGCTCGCAGCTACTTTTCATAAGACAATAAGAACACAGAGAAAACAAAACAAAAAAAAAACGAACAAACGAAAAAAAAATCCCTTAATTTCAAAAGATGGCTGGGAATTCATAAGAGCGAGTGCCCCTGGGTCAGTCAAAAGGTCAGTGGACCCTCGCTGACCGCTGACCTCCTCTGAGTAGGAGGCCTGTCACTCACGCTGGCATATGCCCACTACACAAAGGCACCACTCAACGCCACTTTAACATCCTCCTGTGTGCACATACGGGCCGTCCTTTACATATGCGTGTAATTACACATGTACAGAGGCTGGCCGTTCGACAGAGGATGGCTGCGGGAGAGTTGGAGGAAACAACACTGACTGGGGTGTGGAAGATTACAGCCATTGATCTTTGTCCTGTTCTTGGTATTTGGGTACAGAAGAGAACTCCAACACTGAGAGTCTTTTTCGCTCGTGAAGAGTTCTCACACATGAAGCACTGAAAATGAAAAATGAAGGTAGGTGGCTGGAAAAATCATTACTGACGCTATTACAGTAAATGAGCCAGTGGCTCGGATTGTGTCATATTGCTTGAGGATATAAACAGTAATATGATCTTTATCTTACAATTCAATGGACGCACGTATTGACACAGGCATCGCCTCATTATGCCTGAATACCGGACTCTTCCAACATGACATCATGAGCAAATACAGTACATTATCTCCCCGAACGACTTCCATCCAATCACAACACAGCAGATGCCACGCTCTGTGGTCTTCAAAAAGTTCAAAGTTTTTGGTCTGTCCCCTGCGACGCCAGTCGATCAAGTGTCCCCTGGCTTCCAACGATCTTCTGGTTAAGTTAAACTCAGCTCTTCAGAGTTCGCGTGCGCAAGTATGCGTGAAAAAACTGTCCACGGTTCACCTTCCTACTGCACTTTCAGGTAGCTTGGGGTGGAGTAGTTGAACATGAGGAAGTCCAGCTTGTAGAGCTCGTAGAGCTGGCTCTGCTGCTGGGCGCTAATGTTGTGGAAGAAGGCGGCCGTCATCTGGTCAGTGGTGCGGGTGGATTTGGCGTAGGACGGGAAGCGCAGCTGGTCACCTGCGCCGGCCAGCCGCAACACGTAGCTGGCGTCCTCCTCCAGCGTCTCGTACTTGCCCACCAGGTCGTAGTGGATGTGGCACGGGTGGCACAGCGAGTAGACGGTCTGCCAGTGCTCGTTGAGTGGCGCCTCACGCCGTGTCGCCGGATCCACCAGGTACTCGGCAAACTCGGGGAACTTGACGTCGGTGCCGCTCTGCAGCGCCTCGGCTGTGGCGTTCTTGCGGTAGCGCCTCACGATCTTGGTGCCGTAGCGTTTGTGGAAGGACGTGTTGTAGCGCAAGGTGAACTTGTTTCGGTAGGCCGACACCAGACGCTCAAAGGGCTCACGCACGAACAGGAACTTGAGGTAGCTCTTCAGCCGGTGGTTGATGTCGGCGATGCTGTACTGGTTGAGTGTCCGGAGGTTGGAGGGCACGTGCGCCTCGTTGGATGGGATCTCCATGGGGTCGGTGTACTTGCCGCGTCCGCTCAGCACCATCATCACCCGTTTCCAGTTGGTGCAGGCCACCTTGGGCACGTAGCAGTAGATCAGCTCATGCTCCTCGTCCACCACCAGGTGCTTCAGGTCGCTGGGCGTCAGCACGCGCCGCTTCCGGCTAGAGGCGCTGTGGGCACGACATGTCTCTGCAACCTGGTCCCGGCGGGCCTGGTGGAGGAGCGCAGCTCTGGAGAACTCCGCCTGAGGGAGAACAAGAAGAAACATTTGTTTAGCATCAGTAGCATGCAGACATACACCAATCAGGCATAACATTATGATCCTTGTTTCTACACTCCTTGTCCATTTTATCAGCTCCACTTACTATATAGGTGCACTTTGTAGTTCTACAGTTACAGACTGTAGTCCATCTGTTTCTCTGATACTTTGTTAGCCCCCTTTTACCCTGCTCTTCAGTGGTCAGGACCTCCATGGACCCTCATAGAGCAGGTACTATTTGGGTGGTGGATCATTCTCAGCACTGCAGTGACACTGATGTGGTGGTGGTGTGTTAGTGTGTGTTGTGCTGGTCTGAGTGGATCAGACACAGCAGTGCTGCTGGAGTTTTTAAACACCTCAGTGTCACTGCTGGACTGAGAATAGTCCACCAACCAAAAATATCCAGCCAACAGCGTCCTGTGACCACTGATGAAGGACTAGAGGATGACCAACACAAACTGTACAGTAGCAGATGAGCTATCGTCTCTGACTTTACATCTACAAGGTGGACTGACAAGGTAGAAGGACAGTGAGTGGACACAGTGTTTAAAAACTCCAGCAGCACTGCTGTGTCTGATCCACTCAGACCAGCACAACACACACTGACACACCACCACCACGTCAGTGTTACTGCAGTGCTGAGAATGATCCACTACCCAAATAGTACCTGCTCTGTGAGGGTCCATGGGGGTCGTGACCACTGAAGAACAGGGTAAAAGGGGGCTAACAAAGTATGCAGAGAAACAGATGGACTACAGTCATAATGTCATAATGTTATGCCTGATCGGTTTATGGGAGACTGAAGTTTGGAAGAGCTTGCAACACTCAATGAGTTTTGCGCATTCTCCGGTATAAAGCGATTATGAATGGCTTATAAACCTTCTTCACTCCCATGTTCACTGACAAAGGTTGTTGTTGCCGAAAAGTTGTTTTCATTTTTAAGGGGAAGGGCTCTGCTTTCCTGCACCGCTCACTGCTGTTCAAACAGAGCTGCAACCTGATCAAGGTTGCCAGATTGGGCAGGATGCCACAGTTTAGCTTTTTAATGCAACTCTCCAAGAAAATAATTACTTAGCAATAATGTTTTTCATTATTGTATAGTATATTTTTTTTATTAAAAAGCAAAATAAACAAATGTTAAGCAATATACTGATTTGATTGGTTCTGATACTGATCTTTCAGACTGGATCAAAACATCCTTAGGTTAAAAAAGGATTGTTAAGACTGTATTGTTCATGTTCTGTAGACAGAATTATTTGGCTTCCAAAGTTCCATTCAAACACAGTACTGGCACTTTACGAAAACAAGCAAATAACAAAATCATTGTCCAAGAGTTTATAATCCATGATAAACTCTACAGCCAATCAGACAGACTAAACAAATGCATCCTGGGCCTGTTCACTAAACACCGTCCCTCCGCTTCACCTCTAACACATCAGCGTGCAAGATGCTTAACATTGCACTCACACAGTCACAAACACACACAGACAATTTCACACACATGTGAGGCTCTTTCAAGTCTAGAACAGACCAATTATCAGACTAGACTCTGCATGGCTGGGATTCCCCCCGCAGTGCACCAGCTAACGCAAACTGCCTTTAGTATGCGATGCTTTAAGTGCATCATCATAATTGTTTCATGGCAAACATTAGTATTCACAGCACGGCCTTATGCTCTTGTAAGCTGGCTTTCCTTGACCCCCATTCCTTTTTCATCAAACGCCTGAGAAGATCAAAGGACTGCTGAGCGTATCTCTGGCATGAATGGTCAAGCTGTTAGGCAGTCCAGCACAAGGAATGTTTTGAGATGCAGGTAAATGCTTTAGATGGTCCTTTAATCTATATAATGCTTATTGAACTCGTAAAAAGGCATTGTAGAAGTCTGAGTATAAGAAGCATTTAGACTGTGTGTCTCTCTGCGCTAATTTATCTTTTTTAGGATGTTCGAGCTACAAAACTGCTGTATATACAGGTCCACTTTGTCAAGTAATACAATGATTACTATTATATTATAACGCATTTGTTAAGCCTTAACAAACCAGCAGTTGGTAATTAACAGGGTGATTATTACTATGTTATTAAGCAAGGTGAGCCACTCCTGGTCTCGGTATTGGCTAGGTATAAATAAGGCTTAATAAGAGCATTGGCATTAGGATTAGCATTGGAAAATTCCTAATTAGCTGCTAGTTAATTAGTAAATATTGGCTTGGTCTTCAGAAGAGCATAATGGGCACCTAAAAGATTATGATAAGTGCTCTGGAAAATGTTTGATTCATCCTAGTCATTGTTCAACTGGCTTGGTACTACTGGCTTATTAAGGCTTAATAAGTGCATTACAAACACATTGTAATGCCCCATACTGAGGTGTTACCCTGAATTATTTCTCACATTTACATATCCTTTCTCATTTAAGTGAACTGGCTTTTTCAGCAGGCAAATTTGACTTTTATTCGGTGTGACTGCGGCTTAAGACACAAGAGGCCGCATGTTACAGTGATTTTACCAAGTCGCTGTGTACAGAGGTTGTACTATGTTGTACTCACGACTTTTCAGCTATGGTCATATATTTTCTTTAACCTCTGGATTTTTATTGTCTTTGAAGCTTTTGTATTCTGCCACAAGCAAGTTGAGCTGTTCTGCTGCCATCGTGATTTGTTTGGACTGCAGCCGTGACAACCGACCTCTGATTTGTCAGCCTTATAAAAAAACACATTCCCAGAAAATCGAGCTGATTTCAGTTAGGAATTTTACACATCGTTGCTGTTAGTTTCAGACTCCATGTCGAAGCTGCCATTAACCCCTTAAAATCCCAGGCTTATTACATACCAAGGCTTATTATTTAGTAACTAAAGGGAGTTCAATGCAAACTGGTTGAACTATTCTTAGGTTACAAGTGTGTAATAACACTTTGGACCCGCTGGTGGACCCTGGCCATTTCAGAGGTTAATCTGCATGTGTTTCTTTTCAGAACTTGCCGTGCGTCAAACAACACCTAATGTATAACTGCCTTAACTGCATAGTAACAAGTAGCTAAATGGCAGCCAGCTTTTTTATGTTTGTTATGTTTTATTCATTTTGTTTTCCCAACTGTTTGATTTCTTCCACCGCTACCTCCTGAAATACCTCACAGGCTTCTGTACAAGTACTCCAATACTTATTCTCAAGAGTACCCCTAAAAACAATAACATTTACATTTCAAAATTAACCATAATTTTAATTATGTTTGGCCTGTGATTTTGCTATGAAAAAAAACAATATTATTAAAATACACCAGTGTTTAATAAAGGCATTCATTTAGCATTAATAAGCCACAATAAGCAGTTATTTCACCATGTAATGTAGTGTATTTACGGTAGGCTATGGTTGCCAAGCAACAGAACGGTTAACAAATTAACACAACGACTTAACATTGATACATGCAATCATATGTGTGTGTATCAAGCATTTTAAACAGCTTCCACTGTGAGGGGGACAATGAACCTTTATTCTATATCAGAGGATGCTCAAAATGGGGAATGTTACTGAGCTGTGGCTGCTGGCTGGACAAACAATCTTTCCCAAAGGTCAGTAAGGGTCAGATGTCAAGGGTCAGTCTCGCAGTCCAGCTGTGAATTTCACCAGAGACCAACCATGCAGCTTTCAGTGCCACTTCAGAAGTTCTTCACCTCAAACAATGCCTCAGCGGAGACTCACAGAAGGCCTGGCTGGCCTTATTCTCCACGCTGCTCTTCTTCCAGCGCAGACGATTCATTATTAAACACACTGTTAACATCATCCACTGTTAAAATCTCAGACACAGAGCAAACCTCACTGAATGATAATTGATTTCCATTCCTCGGTCCTTCGCAGACACAGTCTGCTCCTCGCTCGTCCACAAAAACCCTCTCTCTCTCTCTCACTCTCCCTACAGTACGAGCTTTGTTACGGTGGAATTTCCCCAGAGTTCCACAGCTCTCGCGCAGAATTTCGGCCGACCAGTTTATCAGATCATAAAATAGACAGGCTTTGTGTTGCGCAGTCAGCAGTGTATAAAATGACAAGAGAACAAAGAAGGAGAGAGAGAGAGAGAGAGAGAGAGAGAGAGGTCACTGTGTCAGAGAGAACTGCATTGATCAAAACGTCTCTACGGATGTAAGCACGGGGTCAGGTCGTATGAATGCTAATGCAAAGATTAAAAAAAGCATGAAAACTCCCACATTCTTTGTTTTATCTTCATCCAGCCATGTTCTAAGAGTGAGCTTGTTGTTATCATTATTGGGACAATTATCAGTTATTTATGAGTATTACTTCTACATCACTGAACAACTGCATGCATCATAAAAAGGACAACATTAAGGCCTGTTCACACCACAGATGTAATAAATGGATGCGATTTTTAGTGGAATGCAGGCAAAAGGCATAAGAGGAAGGAAAAAAGCAGTAATGATGATAAATTTATCATTGAGCACTGCAATTAAAAGGTGCACACACTGGAAATAAACACTCTACAAAAAAGATCTCGCATAAACAGAGTAGGATGCACCCAGGTAAACAAAAAAGCATCTATAAACAGCCACTAAGGTGCTCACAGCCTGGATAAAATACACCAGTACTCAATAAATACATTCGTTTACCATTAACAAGTCACAATAACAACTATTTCACCATGTAATGTAATAAAATTGATAAATGTATGAAAAATTTCCATTGCACCCCCCCCCAGTCTGCGCCTTTAAAAATAGGAGCTGTTTGATCCTCCAGTGGGCACATTTATCGTGTCTATCGTGTAACGTCTACATTGTTGGGTACAGATTGCAGTTAGCGGCCGTTTACCAGTTCTAACCTGATTAAAATGAAACCAAAATCAGTATTTCATAAATGAAAGGAGTGAAGAGAGACAGAGAGAAGGCAACAAGAGGGCAAGCAAATTCTGACCCGTTTCTGAAAACAGGAGAGCCTAAAGTGCCAAACAGTAAATATGCTGTAGTTGCATGTGCCGAAGCTAC